CTCCTATTTCTTCACTAAAGATCTGCATCCCTATATGTATAGCAAACTAGATAAATCTTAATGATTTCCCTGTAGAAAGTGTGGTTTTGTCATTTGAAATTGTGGGATTGCATACTAGAGATTTTTCTCCACAATTTAATAGATTTTTTTTATTCAAAGATATTCCTTTCCCTGAATAAGTATACTCGATTGGTTCCTTTTGGGATTTTTCCTTCCCTCTTTTCTTTCCAATTTTTAACTATATGGAATATCTGCATTCAAAGCACACATCACAATAGTCTGATTCCTGGAGTTTCCCTGTCCCCACTTTTTACCTTCAATATTCATCACTGATAAACTCTACTTACTGTCTCATCTCAGAGTACCTGGGGAGCCATATGACCCTGGGGCATAGTTGCCAGTGGCAGTTGGATATGGGATAGAAAGAGTCAGACATAAAGGTTTAAAGACTGAACAGCTAGTTAATAAACATAAAGTGTGTTTATTTAAATTTAAATTTATTTAAATTCAACTATGAATTTAGAGGCTTGAGAAGAGAGACTTAAGTTTCTTTCAGCTTAGCTGCTGACCTCTGTCAGAAGAATGATGTGTGTTTTCCTCAAGGTATAAAAAAATTTGTGTTTCTTTTTTGATGGTGGTATGATTTAGATTTAATTTCGCAACCTAGTTAAACTCTTCTTTTATAACTCTACTAAAGAATAGTTAAAATTATACATTTTTTAAACAGGTTGACGTTAACACAAATATTGTTAATCCTTTCTTAAGAAAATGGCTGCTTTCTGTTTGCCTGAAATGTTACTGCCTTAAAGGTAAGAGTTAAAGTAGTGCACTTTATACATTCAGTCATTATTCATTTAACAAGGATTTATTGTCCTAATGACTTGTATGATGGCTTCAATAAACTATTCACACATTAGAATCTCTAAGAATTATTGAAAGGGGAATATGATGATGGAACTCACCATGAAAATCAATTTGATTAAGGATTTTGGCTCTAAAAATAAATCACTTGCTGTTTAAGGTAACAGAGAAATTCATGTATGAAAATCTGTACAAAGTTTTCTATGCCTTCAACATTCCAATATTTTTCTCTTTTGTCATTGTTTTGTTAGAGTTTGTGGAAGACCAAATCCTATAGCTTAGAATTCTATTGATTCTCCACCTTAATAGAGATAAATCAACTTAGGTTTTATTTTGTGGAAAAAGAATTACCTCAAAAATTCTGTAAACATCATCATTAT